TAACCTCTCAGCATCACTTCATGCTCCAACTGAAGCCTTACTGAGGGAAAGAAATTCTTGCAGTACAGAAGAGATCATCTAGAAAGATTTATAATTTGTCTGTTTATCTTTTCCTTCCCAACCCCAACTAGACTGTAAAAATCTTGAGGGCAGAACTCTACATAATTCCTCCATGCAATTCTCCACACCTGGCACAGCCCTCCCCAACACATACTTGTGTCAGTATATCAAATATATTTTGTCAGTCTCTCCTCTGAAAATGATGCTAAGTAGTTCCATTTGGCAGGATAGTTTGTATCCAACTGCTCTATATATACGCCTCTTGTTGGTACAGGAAAGCTGCGATTTTCTGCATTCAGACTTTTGACTTGCTATTTATTTGAGCTTTGATTTAAAAAAGTGGCTAGTGAGCCACATTTGTTTCTTTACTTTCACCCTAGGCTGTGATAAAACATCCAATATTTAATGCAATAGAAGAGAGGCAATGCAATAAATATCATTACCCCAAATAAACGTAATTGAATTCATTGTGAAGGTGCAGATTTTATCAAAATAGTTGCATGGGTGTAAAGGACAAAACAGACTATCCTCTTTCTGGCTGCTTTATGAATTGTATGTATGCTGCTGGAATTGAGGGCTCCAAATGTTTAAGTAGTTTGTCCAAGGTTACACAGCCATTAACTGTGGGAATGGTGACTGAAGTCGCAGATATGTATTAGGACAAAGTCATGAGAGATTACTATATCATGCAGAAGAAGAATAAAATACAGCAAGCTGGGTGCTGTGGCTCACGCCTGTAATCCCAGCACTTTGGGAGGCTGAGGCAGGTGGATCACAAGGTCAAGAGATCGAGACTATCCTGGCCAATAAAGGGTGGAACTCTTGTCTCTACTAAAAAATACAAAAACTAGCTGTACATGGTGGAAAGACCTGTAGTCCCAGCTTGCTGGGAGGCTGAGGCAGGAGAATAGCTTGAACCCGGGAGGCAGAGGCGTTGACGTGATCACGCCACTGCACTCCAGCCTGGCGGGCCGTGAGTGAGACTAGTCTCAAAACAAACAAACAAACAAAACAAAACCAGCAAACACTTCCAGAGAACATAGTGTTTTTCTAGCAGGTGAGTACCTGATCTAAGTTAGAATGCTGTTCACTACTGAAAAATGCCATAAACAAACAAACAGCACTCAAATGGGGCAATTGCTAGATGTAAGACATGGTGGTAGTAAAGTAGCATAGGCTAGAGTTTAGAAAACTTTGAATTCCAATCCCACCATTATCTAATTCTTGGTTTACTCTTATATAATTGCATCGATACAAGATGTTATCAGAATTAAAGGAGACAAGTGGTTAACACAGGGCCTGCAAATTGATCGTGCTCAACCAATGCCAGATTACTTCACCTTCCCTTCCTTTTACTCTAGGCAATGTTAGCATTAATTTATTTGACCAGATTAAATTTCCCCAATACAAAACCAAGTTTCGTGGTTGTTTCTTGTTTCTCTGCTTTTTGGTGAAGCTAAAAGATGGGGTTAAAGTTCAAAGCAGTTAGGCAAATAATACTTATGCAACATTAGTGAAATATTTTAATAATTATTGTAAATCCAGATGTATCAGAATGCCATCCTTGAAAAATGATTGTACTCTTCTTTAAAAATTAAGCATTCTTTCAGTTATTCTAATAGATGAATATTAATACGATTATGTTAGGTTCTGCAAATAAAATTCCATTGGCATTTTGATTGGGATTTTATTCACTCAGTGTTATGGCTCCTGTGTTCTAGGAATTGCTTTGGTTTGCTATTATCATTAAAAGGTCATTTTACCTCATAACTTTTTTCCCATTTTAGCATGTCTTTCTCTCTTCTTCCCTCTGGTGGCAGGTACTTGCAAAGATAATTGGGAATTAGAGGGGTGATAATCGGTTGTGGAATTGAATTATCTCCACAAAATGACATATAGGATGAGGCATGAATCATTCCTGATGATTGTGAGGGATCCTTGTGATATGGTTGGTACTTCAGGAAAATTATAATTCAGCAGGCACAGGATGACTTCCCCTATCATTCCAGAAATACCACTACCATCATCCTAGTTTGCAAAATTCATTCTCCATTTGTTTTTCAAATATTCTTTCAAAATCTGCAGTTTTTACTTATTTTGAAATTAGATCCTATTGTGAATGCCTGCCATTTCTCCCATTATGTTTCTATATGTATGTTTTCTGATATGCATAAAGTCATTGACATTTTTAAACAGTTACTATTTATTCTATCCTTTGTAAAATTCATTTATACCAAGACATCTTTTTTATGCTGCTCTCGAATGTTTTTCAGACTATACTCCTATCTTCTGTAAGCACTGATAACTTTGTCTTCACCTTTTCAAAAGTTACAGAACTTATTTCTTTTTAGCATCTCTTTGACAGTAAGATAATTTCCAAAGCAATATTAAGTAATACTAGGATAATTAATATATTTGTCTTGGTCTTGATTTTAATGAAATTTCCTCTGGTTGTATAAACTATCTTGAAGCTTTTTTATGGAAAAAAGTCACTCCTAATATAGCCTACTAGAATTTCCTTTAAATGTATATATTTTTTCAAAAAATGAGAATAGGTGTTTAATTATTAATAAATACCTTTGAGCATCTATTGAGTGTATCAAATTACCAGCTTTACAATCTGGCTTCAAATCCAGTTAAAGCAAATATTTCAACTTATTCAATTCACTACTTAGTCTCACCCATTTAATAATTCTTCTCACAGGACCACATTTCTTATAATTTGGAACATTATGTTTTATGGCTAGTGTCAACAATTAATTATTTATGGTATATTGAGGAATATCAATTCTGTGAATATTTGCTTAGTAATAGCAGACAATTTATTAGCACTTTTTTCTAAGACAGCGGTTTTCACAGTCAACTGGTCCTCTCCCTTTTCTAGACATATAATCAGATTGCTTATGAATAATAAATATTTGTTTAACTAAACATGATGGCTAATATGCATTTTAATTTTGGGGACCCTATACAGATGGATTTACCTTTCTTTTTTCCTCTATATCTTCTTTTAGTGCTTCATTTTTTTTTTTTTTTTTTTTTGAGACAGAGTCTTCTGTTGCCCAGGATGGAGCAGCAGTGGTGTACAGTTCACGCAGCCTTTCTCCCAAAGCAACTTCCACCTCAGCCTCCTCAGTGGCTGGGACTAAGCAGGTGCATGCCATTATGTCTGGTTAATTTTAAATTTTTGTAGAGATGGGGTCTCATTATGTTGCCCAGGCTGGTCTTGAACTCCTGGCTTCAAGTGATTCTCCCCACATTGGCCTCCCAAAGTGCTGAGATTATAGGCATGAGCCACCACGCCTGGCCTGCTTTAATTTTTAAATTATTATGTTTTTAGTCAGAAAAGGAACCAAAATATCTAAGGTGAAAATGAAAAGAGTGTGGATACGTAAGTAATATAAAATATGGCTGAAGCATTCACCTACTATAGACAGAAAATGACTGAACAGGTATCTCTGAAATGTTATGAGGTTGCTTGACTTTGGGCACTTCAATACATTTTATGACTTTACTGTGCTCTACAACCAAAAATACTACTAAATACAGTTGACGCTTGAACAGCATGGGCTTGAACTGCATGGGTCTACTTATATGTATATTTTCTTTCAACTGGCAAGCAGATAAAATACAGTATCTGAGATGCGAGAAATTTGTATAAGAGGGCCAAATCTATTACTATATAAGCAGGTTTCAGGCTGACTGGGGGACTTGAGTATGTGTGAGTGGGTGGTGTGGTGGTCCTAAATCCAATCCCCTGTATATACCAAGGGATTACTGCAATACTGAAAATTAGTCAAACAAAGAAAACATCTTTCTAACTCCAATAATCTGGTAGACTGAGAAAGAAAAACTTGACCAAATGTTTGAAACTGCATATATCAATTATGCCATCAGACTTGACTTTGACTGACCTTGAACCAATTAGACCCTTGGTCCATTCCAGATGGTTACAATAATAAACTCACTGCCACCATCAAGGAAATTTCCAAGCTTTACTTCTGTGCTTTCACCCAGATAAGGCTGTGTGTGGGATAGCCTAGTAAAATGAAAACTGCACTGTGAACTTTGAAATATGACAGTTTTCATTTCTATATGTTACCCTCCACTTCCACCACTCCTGGAAATGGGCTGCAACTGTGATAGTTTTCTTAGAATTCTCAATATATTAACTTGAAATATGGAAAGAACACAAGATCTGGAAAGACATACATGGATTCAAATCTATGCTTTACCTCTTATTTCTTAACCTTCCTAGTACCATTTCTAGATAATCATACTTTCTTCATCCATAAAATTGACTCAAAAATACCTTTTATTAGCAGCAATGTAACTGTGGACTTCATAAATTAATCATGTTTATCATTATGACTTTGATCAGCATTTAGTAGTAAGGTTGCAAATATCGAGTAACATAAAACATCCATATTTGGCAAGGAAAATTTTCACACTTACAACAATAAGGGTGTGTCTGGAATGCAAACACACCAGAGAATCCATCCATCATGACGATTTTCTGAACTACTTCCATAAACAAAGCTGCATCTTTTTTTTTTTTTGCCTGCTTTCTCCATTTTATACTAGTTTTGTGACTTGTTTGATAGGACAGGAGGCAGCCAAGGCACTCTTGTGCCCTGGCCTTGTCAAAACTTTGTCTTCAATCCTAAACAGCCTGAAGGAAAACCAGACTGCCAGTCCTCGAGAATTTCTAATCAGAACTGGGAGAATGTGGTGGAGTGTGTGTCCACACCATTTACAGAGGGAGGAGCCTGGCCTCGAGTTCCTGTGTGGTGGGGCAGGAGTCAGTTGAATAGGCTTCTTCACTCTGCTGAAAGTTTTTCTTTTTTTTTCCTTTTCACCTAATATATTCTGTTTCCTCAGCTCTCTGTGCTGTTGCCCTAAGCCCAATATTTCTAAGGGGTGATGTGGGCAACCTGATTTTCCTTTACATTTTTTGGCACCCAAAATGGGACTTGAGGAAAGGTGGAGTATCATGCAAAATAAAACTTTTTTTCTTTTTTTTTTTTTTTTTTTTTTTTTTTTTTTTTGTTTCTAAGCCTTTTTTCTCCTTTTTTTTCGGATCTCTTCTCTATGGGTATGAAGCACATCCCAGTGGCTGCAGGTGTACAGGATGGAGGGGAATGGTGGCCCCCCATCCTTGCAGCCAGGGCTGGAATATATACCAGGTGCCTAAAAGCAAGTTGGTTTGTGTTCTCCATCATGCGTCTGGAGATTCTTTTCCCCAGTTAGGAGTCCAGCTTCATCCAACAACAATTGCTTTCTTCCCTGATGTTCTGGGTGGTTAGGATTTGCATTCTACTGCTGTGGTCCAGATTCAATCCTGGCTTAGGAATGAGTCCTTCTGGTTTGATATCTGCATGACCTTTGCTATTTGTTGATTCCTCCCTCTGCAGAAACCACCTTGAATGTCCTCTCTCTGAGCCTTAGCAAAGTTTGAAAGCTAGAATACTGGCTGATTGGCATATTGAAGTCAGATAATAAGGGAGTTAAATGATTTTTTCCTTCCTTCCTTCCTTCCTTCCTTCCTTCCTTCCTTCCTTCCTTCCTTCCTTCCTTCCTTCTTTCTTTCTTTCTTTCTCTCTTTCTTTCTTTCCTTTCTTCCTTTTTTTTTTTTTTTTGAGATGGAGTTTCACTCTTGTTGCCCAGGCCGTAGTGCAATGGCACGATCTCGGCTCACAGCAACCTCTGCATTCTGGGTTCAAGCAATTCTCCTACCTCAGTCTCCCGAGTAGCTGGGATTACAGGCATGTGCCACCAAGCCTGGCTAATTTTTGTATTTTTAGTAGAGACAGGGTTTCTCCATGTTGGTCAGGCTGCTCTCGAGCTCCTGACCTCAGGTAATCCACCTGCCTCAGCCTCCCAAAGTGCCAGGATTACAGGCATGAGCCACCGCACCCAGAGTTTTTTTTTGTTTTGTTTTTTGTTTTTTTGAGGCACAATCTCACTCTGTCACCCAGGCTGGAGTGCAATGGCGTGATCTTGGCTCACTGCAACCTCTACCTCCCAGGTTCAAGCTATTCTCCTGCCTCAGCCTCCTGAGTAGTTGGGATTACAGGTGTGTGCCACCATACCTGGCTAATTTTTGTAATTTTAGTAGAGATGGGATTTCACCATGTTGATCAGGCTAGTCTTGAACTCCTGATCTCATTTTCCACCCACCTCAGTCTCCCAAAGTGCTGGGATTACAGGCATGAGCCACCATGCCTGGCCTAAAATGATTTTCTTAAGGAGCACTCAACTTCATTAAAAGTGTATATCCAAGTTATGGTTATATTTAAAAGGTCTTTATGTTTTCTTTTCTTGGATCTTCTTTTGCTGGAAAAAGGTTTTTTTTTTCTCAGTTAGCTGAATTATTTTTCTTGATTTTGCCTTGCCACTCTCAATGCATGTATGAGTCGAGAGACCTCTATTTTCCTCATAAGAACCCCAGGAATTAAAAGAGGGTAGATCCCTCTCCTCTGATGGAAGATCTTATGGCAACTGGATTTTTTTCTGCCTGTCTGTGTAGTTATATATGTGTTGTATATGTGATATCTGTAAAAAAAACTCTAATTAATTTGGCCTAAAGGAAGATAAGCACTTGGATCAAATATTTTTTAAAGGTAAGATAAAAATGGTACCTTTTAGTTCATGTGACTTTAATCTTTGAGAAATAAAAACAGCTATAAAGATTATTGGTAAAATGCAGATGTCATTAAAATATAAATAGGTGAACTAAATTATGCAGGTAAGATGCAAGGTTTGCTAAGTGTTTTAAGATTATACACTGCTTTTTGGTTTTTGTTCGACTTGGTAAGGCCTGCTCAACTTGGTAAGGCCTGGGGACATGTGGAACTAACCATGCCCTTAATTCTACTGGAAGGAGTCAAACCTTGGCTGTACTTAGCACATAATTAAAACAACTTACCAAGTTTTACATTAAAGTTACAAATTGCTAGGAGTTACCATTATGAAATGTAATTGAGACTACTGGAAATAGATTTACATGTGAGGTGTATAAGAACATAAAATGTGTTTTTAATAAAAGGCTATAAGAAGGCATAAAAATATAAATTCTTGCCTAGGGTTAAAGAATTGTTTTAAATTAGATAAGATAAAGCTAAAGGTTCAAACAAGTGGAGGAAGGATTGTAAAAATTAATCTTGCAAGAGAAATTCTCTGTGTGAACATATTGACTAAATTCAAAAGGGTATTACATGGTTTTTCTGTAAATTAAGGATTAAAAGAAAAGCAAAACAAGGTACTCCCAAGGCACTAATCTGCTCTTTAGCAAATTTTGTAAAGGATTATAAAAGGTTGTTTTGCTTTTTAAACATTTCTGAGTCATTATTTTGGGAAAATAAATAATTTATGGCAATTTGGAATTCTATTTCATAACACCAAGTGTTTCAAACCTCTAACATATTTAACAGCCTTCCCAAAATCAAACATCAGTTTCAAAATTGTCTTTCTTGACACCTAGCTTTTCAGATACTTCAGAAGGGTCCCTGGAATGTTCAGAGAAGAGAGGTAAACAGGATTATTTGACATTTTTAGTTACATGAGATTGCAAAATAATGTTCAATCTTCTTTAAGTTATATTTTGGAGAATAACACCAATATATGTTCCAAAATTGTATGGGATTCCCAAAATTCTAATGTCTGTCTATTTTTTATTTTATTTTATTTTTTGAGACAGAGTCTCATTCTGTTATCCAGGCTGGAGTGTATTGGCATGATCTTGGCTCAGCGCAGCCTCGCTTCCCAGGATCAAGCGATTCTCCTGCCTCAGCCTCTCAAGTAGCTGGGATTACAGGTGCATGCCACCATGCCCAGCTAACTTTTGTATTTTTAGTAGAGACGGGGTTTCACCATGTTGGGCAGGCTGGTCTCAAACTCCTAACCTCAAGTGATCTGCCTGCTTCAGCCTCCCAAAGTGCCAGGATTACAGATTTGAGCCACTGTTCCCAGCCCAAAATTCTAATGTCTAAAGTATAATGCTATCAATCATAATTATGTTTGTTAAGTTATTGTAAACGACAGAGATAACCAAACTTCTTTGTCAATTGTGTTTCTAACTGTAACTACCCTAGACATTTTGTTATTCACAGACAATTGTTGTCTTGTTTTAATCCTTTTCAAAAAATGGTTTATAATAAACTATAGAACTTTGACAAGTACTCTCAAATACAGGTTTCTGATAACTTTGGAGACTGTGACATTGGAATAAAGGAAAAACATACGGGACTCATGAAGAGCTGAAATGTTCATGAACATCAAGCAAAACAAGAGCCAACAGAATGAACTCAGAAAACTGAAGCAACGTTTTTTATTTTTGCTTGGAATACTGCTGATCCTTGTTTTGTTTTTCAGAGTCAAGGAAACTTATTTTGAACTATTAATGGCCCTTAATAATTGAGTAAGGTATGCTCCTGTGAACAGAATTTGGAGCTTGTTTGTTTCTCTTGGCCTGGTTCCTCTAGAATTTAGAAACTCTCCCTGAGTATTCTTAAGTTATGGTAATATAGCTGTTTGCATCAGTGCAATAAGAATCCATTTTCTTTTGCACCAGAACACAATTGAAGAAACTGGTTGCTTTACCAAGGCTTTGACTGGAAGGGTAAGCTCCCCTTTAAAGAGTCAAGTTCAATTTGCAAAGCTAATAAAAGCCCTTTGGGGAAACTGCCCTCATACCCTCATCTATGCAGTCCCTGTACAGTGTTCCTTACTTGTGGTCAGTAAAGAATGTCACTTTCTAACAGGCCCAGGAGCTCCAAGTTTATCTTGGGACCTTAAGAGGAGAGGATCACCCAACTCACATGTATTTGAGGATACAAATCCATGGTTGGGCTCAGCTTTAAAAGGTCTTATCTGAGTTTCCTTGTGGAACCAGGTTCCATCAAAGCCAATCTAAAAGGTCTATGTAGAAATAGTTATTCTTGCTGCATTTTATGCAAATAATCAGGCCAAGTATAAGACTAAAGTCTATTTGGCAAACAACTCAGTCCTATCATGATTTCTTTTAACAAAAATTAGGACTAGAGAGACAGAAATTGTGTTTCAAAACTTATCATACATTTGTCATTAAATTCTAGACTTATTAGTTGTTTTTAAATTTTTGCCTACATTTTAGACCAACACTGCTTGTTCCTGTGAACCAACAAGCTCAGAAAGAACAAAAGAGATGGGTACTGTAGAAATCTGGATCAATATTCTTGTTCTGAGCAATTATCTTGCAAATCCTGCCAGGTAATGGAAATAAATAGGGTGCCCATCACTCAGAGGTTTCCTTTTTCGGAAAGTAAGACCAAGGGAGCTAACCAAATCCAAGCATCATGCACCCAAATCTTAGCAAGCATAACTATAGCCACAGGTTGTCTGGGCATGTCACAAGACATCCTTTTCTCTACCTTGTTTGAGGAGGACTCAATTCCACAGCTTCACTTTAGCATTCAGCTGATGATAAGGAATCCATGCAGTCTCCCCAAGACACATTTTGGTCCCAATCTTAATTCCAAGCTTTGGGTCAAAGCCCTAGGAAAGAAAATTGGATCTGAGGGATCCAGAGGCAGTTGATAACAGAGGTTAAAGGTACAGTGCAGGTGAGTTTGGCTAATTCCTGCTGATTAAGCCAAGCCTCGCGTTTCATGCATAAATGTCATGCTGGTATCCATGGTATAAGTGAGGTCTAGCGAACTCCAAGGCTTCTGAGAGTAGGGGGGATAGAGGCACAGGTGAGAGCGGATAATTCCTACTCTCTAGGCCCTCCATGCATCATGGGTGCAAGCTGCATTGGCACTTATGGGTGGCAACCTGTTGTGGTCACTGGGACTCGGGGATACAAGGATGGAGGAAAGAAAGAGGAGTGCCTCACTTTCTCTCCCTCATGTACCCTGTGTATTTGCTGGAAAGAGAAGGGAACCAGGGATACCTGCTCCCCTCTAACTAGATGAGTAACCATTCATCTTCAGTCTGCACCCCTTTCAAATGCATCCCGAAACCCTGGGACTCCTTTGAAAAAATGCTTTCTTCTTTCTTTTCTCCTCTTGTTTCTTCTCTTCACTGATAGGTAATTGTGTTTCTATACTACGGGACACTCCCCTTGGATGCATCCTCCAAAATAGGAAAAGTTAATTTCTCAAACCTTAAACTGGTTGGCTTAGGGTTGGGCTCAGGGGAAGGGAACCCAGAAGCCTGACATGCCATCAAAAGGGTAAAAGTTTTTTTTACCAGTCCAGTTGTTGGCTTCCCTCTCCCCGTGCAAACTGGTAACAGGCCTCAGAATTTCTAAGCTGTCCTCACTTGCCCTTGTTTCATTTTGATATGTTTTCAAATAACCTGGTTTGTCTTGTCTCACCTTCAGGTCATCAAAGTCCAAATGGTCATGCAACAGGAGCCTCAGACAATGACACCTCTCTCTGAGGGAGATCTGACTGCCATTTTCCCAAAACAGCATCCCCTGTCAGCAGGAAGAAGTTAAGATCAGTCTTCATCCTTACCTTTATTCTTACTCTAAGGACAGTTAGATGTACTTCTTTAGAAGGGGGAATGGTAGAGACAGGAGGCAGCCAAGGGTTGCCCAGCAAAACCCCACCTTCAAGCCTAAAACAGCCTAAGGGCTGAAAAACCGGACTGCAGGCCCCAAAGAAACTCCAACCGGCCTGCACACTGGGAAAACAGGATGGAGCCATGGAATGTCACGTCATTCGCAAAGGAGCCAGTCTCTCGAGTTCCTGTATGGTGGAGCGACAGCCAGCTAACAGGCTTCCCTCTCACTCTGCTGAAAGTTTTTCTCTCTTTTTCCTTGCTTGCCCAATAAATTCCGTTTCCCCTCACCCTTCAAAGTGTCTGCAAGCCTAATCTTTCCTGGTCATGTGAAAAGAACCCAGATTTTCCTACAACCATTTGACTAATTAAATGTGGAATAAATGATATTTTGCTAATTCTGAGTATAGTCCTAAAGAAGCCTTGCACACTTCTGCTTTCCCTCTTGGAATCTTACTCAGCTGACATTTGAAATCCTGGGGCAATTGGCTGGAGGATGACAGACCACATACAGAAGAGATGAGACATCTTATCTGGGGCCATCTTAAAAAAAATCCAGCTCCCAGTCAATCTATCAGTTGACCACATGAATATAAATGATTCCAGCAGAGATCAGAAGAACTGGCTAGCTGAGCTAAGACTAAATTGCTCATCAGAGTAAGAAGAGTTAAATAAATGAATACAATTTTAAGCACTAAGTGTTGGTGTCATTTGTTTTGCAGCAATAACTAACTAATAAGAGAGTGAATACCACAAAGTTTTTAGGTTTAGTTGAAAGAAAATGAGGAAAATTACATCTGATGGAGTGGAAATTCTGGTTATGGTGGATTGAAGAGTTTGGTTAATCCTTTTTGCCAAATACAAGAATAAGACTGGACAAAATTGTCAAAAACAATTTGGGGGCTCTGAAAATATACTTAAGGTAAACAACTCATTAGTAAGTGTTTAACCTTGAAAAGCTGCTAGATCTGTGCATAAAAGAATCTGTGTCCCTGCATGGGGCTGCTTCCATCCAGCCCACCCCCTAATCTCCCTCAGCTCCCAAGGTGAGAAGGATAGTTTTACTCTATGTGCCGACCAAAACAATTTAGCAGCTTTTCTCCCAGTGGGTGAATTCCATTTGGGTCAGATGGTGAAAAGCTGGGTTATTACTAGTTAAAAGTTGTATACTCATTAGGAATAAAATGGTAAAATCTGTCCATTTGGTTGCCCACGTTTGAGGTTACAGTGGGGCAAGCAGAGAATCAGACAGGAATTTAATAAAGATATTTTGAAAATGAATGCACCACAGTAGGGCTTCATATATCCTGTGTGACTGGGAAAATATGCACATGTATGGGAGAGACCCAGGAGAACTCAGAGAAAAGTAAAAGTGAAGGTAGGCTTGAGAACTGACTGAAATGTTTATTGTGCTCCCCATTTCACACGCAGATTGATTGATGGATTAATTGGTCGGCTGAGTGTAGAAGCTTCACAGGCTTGAGGTTTTTAAAAACAATCTCTGGCCAAACCATTGCCTGATCACTAAGATATGCAGATACAGGGGTGACTTAATAGGAATCCAGAATAAAAAATAAAAATAAGAATAAAAAAATTAAACAGAGAACTCAGCAGCTGCTTGCCATGAGATGACAAATTAAAATGCTAAAGCCAGGCAATTCTCCAGAAAAAATTCATATAATTAAAATTAAAACAAAATCTAGAATTGCTATAAAACACTATCTAAAATATCTACTTTAAAACCAAAACTTATGACACAACAAAATGGGGAAAAAAAAACCCTGGCAATAGAAAGTTACTCTGAATGGGCTCAAATGTTATATTTAGCAGACAAAGCATTTAAAGCAGGTGTTATAAATATGTTAAAAAAATTAAATAAAAACTATATTAAAATAATTAAAAGAATATGTGATGATCATGTTCAGCTAGGTATTATCCCTGGAATTCAGGGCTGCTTATTTTTTTTGCTTTTTTTTTTTTTTTTTGTAGAGACGGTGGTCTCACTATCTCACCCAGGCTTGTCTTGAACTCCTGGCCTCAAGCAATCCTCCCATTTCAACCTCCCAAAATGTTAGGATTACAGGTGGTGTGAGCCACCATGCCCAGCCATTTTACAGTCAAAAATCATCAATGTAATTTACATATTAGCAAACTTTAATGAAAAATCATTTGATCATTTCCATTGAAGCAGAAAAAGCATTTGAGAAACCCCAACATCCATTCCTGATAAGCACTTGGAGAAAACTAGAAATGAAAGAAAATTTTCTCAACCTTATAAAGCACATTTATAAATATGATGCTACAGCTAACACCATATTTAACAATGAAAAACTCTCTGAATGCAGTAGCTCACACATGTAATCCAAGTACTTTGGGGGGCTGAGGCAGGATGATCACTTGAGGCCAGGAGTTTGAGGCCAGCCTGGGCAACAGAGGGAGACCCCTGTCTCTACAAAAAACTAAAAAATTAGCTGGGCATGGTGGTGCATGCCTGTAGTCTCAGCTACTTGGGAGGCTGAGGTGGGAGGCTTGCTTGAGCCCGGGAGGTTGAGGATGCAGTGAGCTATGTGAGAGAGCAAGACTCCATCTCTAAGAAGCAAGAAAGAAGGAAGGAAGGCAAGAAGGAAGGAAGGAAGGAAGGAAGGAAGGAAGGAAGGAAGGAAGGAAAGGGAAGGAAGGAAGGAAGGAAGGAAGGAAGGAAGGAAGGAAGGAAGGAAGGAAGGAAGGAAGGAAGGAAGGAAGGAAGGAATGAGGGAAGGAGGGAAGGAGGGAGAGAGGGAGGGAAGGAAGGAAGGAAAGGAGGAAGGTAGGAAGGCAGGAAGGGGAGAGTGAAAGAGAGAGAGCGAAAGAGAAGAAAGAAAGAAAGAAAGAAAGAAAGAAAGAAAGAAAGAGAGAGAGAGAGAGAGAGAGAGAGATGAGAAACAGAAAGAGAAAGAAAGAAAGAAAGAAAGAAAGAAAGAAAGAAAGAAAGAAAGAAAGAAAGAAAGAAGAAGGAGGAGGAGGAGGAGGAGAAAGGAAAGAAGGAAGGGCTCCCCTTACACACACACACACACACACACACACAAACATACACACAAACAAGATATACACAAGATGAGGAAGATAGGAATGTCTACACTCACGCTTTTATTCCACATTGGACTGGCGGTTCTAGGCAGTAAAGTCAGGTAAGAAAATGAAGAGGCACAGAGTCTGGAAAAGAAGAAGTAGCACTCTCTTTATTCATAAATGACATAAATACTCGTTTAGAAAATTAGATGAAATCTTCAAAAACCTATTAGAACTAATAAGCACATTTATCAAGGTAGAGAACTACAAAGTCAAGATACAAAAATTATTTGTGTTTTCATATATAAGCAATAAAAAAATTGAACATTGAAACTAAAAATATCATTTACAAGAGCATAAAATACGAAGTACTTAGGGATAAATCTAACAAAACACATGAAAGGTCTTGTGTTAGTCCTTTTTCGCACTGCTATAAAGAACTATCTGAGACTGGGTAATTTACGAATAAAAGAGGTTTAACTGACTCACAGTTTTGCACGGGTAACAAGAAGCATGGCTGGGAGGCCTTAGGAAACTTACGATCATGGGCAGAAGTTGAAGAGGAAGCAAGGACCTTCTTCACATGGAGGCAGGAGTGAGAGAGCGAAGGAAGAAGTGCCACACACTTTTAAGCAAGCATATCTCATGAGAACTCACCCATTATCAGAAGAACAGCAAGGGGGAAATCGGCCTTCGTGATCCAATGACTTCCCATCAGGTCCCTCCCCTGACCCATGGGGATTACAGTTTGATGTGAGATTTGGGTGGGGACACAGAGCCAAACCATATCAGACCAGTACACTGAGAACTACAAAATATTGCGGTGAAAAATTAATGAAGACCTAAGTAAATGAAGAGATATATCTTAACTGGTTCAAAGACTTGATGCTATTAAGGTATCATTTATTCCCAAATTGATGTATAGATTCAATATAATACTAGTCAATATCACTGGTTTTTCTTGTAAAAATGGACAAGAAAATGCTATATGGAATATGAAATATGAAAATGAAAAGTACCTAAAATATTCAAAACAACTCTGAAAAAGAAGAATGAAATTGAAGGACTACTACTACTTTATAATCAAAACACCATAGTATTGATGTAAAGATAGATAAATAGATTGTGGAACAAAATAGAAAGTGTAGACATAAACCCACACAGGAATGGACAACTTATTTTTATTTTCAAAGATGCAAAAGACAGTGCAGAAATGGATAGACTTTCTTAAACAAAATAATTGTATATCCATATGCAAAAATTAAAGTTGGGGCCATATATCATACCATAAAACTCAACTCAGAATAGACCAAAACTCCAATTGTAAAATCTAAATTTATAAAATTTCTGGAAGAAATGATGGGAGAAAATCTTCACAATGTTGGTTTATGTGAAGATATCTTAGATATGACATAAAAAGCACAGTCCACAACATAACAAATTGTTAAATTTATTTCACCAATAGTAAAAAGGTGCTCCTCAAAAAACAATGATAATAGAATGGAAAGAAAGCCACAGACTGGGTAAAAACTCTTTTCAAAGCGTGTATCTGATAAAGTACCTATATCTATAATATATAAAAGAGCTCTCAAAATACAACAATAATAACACAAACAACCAAATTAAAAATGGGCAAAACATTTGAACAGATGTCAAGTAAGCACATCAAAATATGTTCAACATCTTCAGTAATTGGGGGAAAGCAAACTAAAACCCAGTGAGACACCACTACATACCTATTACAGTGTCTACAATTTAAAAAGTCTGACCTTACCAAGTGTTGTGAGAATATGGAGGAACTAGAACACTCAGATGCTCCCAGTTGAAATGTAAAATTGCACAGCCACTTTGGAAGACAGTTTTTTAGTTACTTAAAATGCTAAACATATACATATCATATGGTCCAGCCAGTCCACTACTATGTATTTAGCAAAGTCTAAAGAAAATATATGTCCATGTGTTGTGGTTTGGATGAGGTTTGTTTGTCCCCATTAAAACTCATGTTGAAATTTGATCCTCAATGTGGCAGTGTTGAGAGGTGAAGCCTGGTGAGAGGCGTTTGGGTCATGGGGACAGATCCTTCATGAACGGCTTGGTACCATTCTCATGGTACTGAGTTCTTGAAAGGCTGGATTTCTTCTCTGAGAATGCATTAGTTCCCATGAGAGTGTGTTATAAAGCCAGGATGTCTTTCAGGTCCTCTATCTTCACATGTGTCTGCTTCTCCTTTGGCCTTCTCCACCATGTTTTGACTGACACATGACCCTCACCAGAAGCCAAGCAGATGCTGGCATCATGCTTCTTGTACTTCACAGCCTGCAGAATTGTAAGCCAAATAAACTTATTTTTTTTATAAATTACTCAGTCTCAGATATTCTTTTACAGCCACACAAAACAGATTAAGACACCATGTGAACAGTTTTACCTGAATGTCTGTTGCCACTTTATTTGTAATACCCCTAAACTGGAAACAACGTAACTGCTCATTAATTGATGAAAGGTTAGTTGTGACATATTCATACAATGGAATATTACTCAGTAATAAAAACGAAGGAACTATTGATACACCCAATGTGAATGAATCTCAGAATAATTATCTGAGTGAAAGAAACCAGAAAAAATACATGGTATATCTGATTGCAT